GTGGTATTAATAAAATGCAGTATCATGACATGAGATATCACAATATTTCTGTGTATCAATTTTTTTTGGTACCCCATATTTTCTACCATACCAGTCTTTCAGAACATACTTGTTTTCTCAGGTTTTTGATGTGTTGTATTTGGGGAAGTGTGTCGTTTTTCTGATATATTTGGTCTTGTAACACTAGTCATTGTGTAACAATCTAACCGATTCAAGAAGAGGCCCCAAGAGGGCAGTCTCTCATCCATCCCATCAGTGGTGGATGGTTGGAACACTCCAATACGTTTGTTCTCGGGTAAATTGATACGATCTGCTGTTGCGACTCGTCGTAAAGCTTGTGTGTATTAAAGTTTGACAGGCGTTTGAAACGAGGATGAGTTACAGCTAAAAGGTGGGATTGTTGGTGTTTGACGGAGCAGCGCTTCTTCACTCATGTCTGGATGCTTGTCAGGGTCTGTTGTAATAACAGGTAAAATCACATGACTCTCTCGCTATCAGACTCCATGTCTCCTGCTGTAAAATGACCCGTCATCGGGATTAATTACTTTGAAGATAAGCAGTGTAGCAACACAACACAGGGAGTGCGTCAACACGGGGAACTCTACAGATTCAAAGATGGGAAAGATAGAACAGACGTGAAGTGACATCACCATCTTGTCCTGTCATTACTTGAATTGTTTTTTTTTTTAATACTCTAAATCGATCTCGGGCGTTAACGTTTCTTTTTGCCGATGTTTTTATTTCAGTCACTGACTTCTCCGTGTCCATGTCAACGACACCCAGTGTCGACTGCTTTACTTGGCACTCGGCTCCGACAGACTCAGAGGTGTCGGCTTGTCAGTGGTGAATTTATAGAGCTCTGTTCCAAATACCAGCCAACATCCTCAGGTGAATCAGATAAGAGCACAAAAATGTCACAACCATAAACTCTAAACACACAAACCAACACCCAACAAATACACCGTTTAAAGGCCAGCTTTCATCAGCAAAACATAAACACTGCCTGTCATATATAGGTGCGATTCATCCTTTGGATGCAGTTCAGAAATGCACGAACCTGTAAACGAGACACTTAATAAGGAGTTAAAACTCTGTATGAAAACTTTACCAAAATGTATGCACTTGTGTTTCTGGGGAACATTTGGGATTGAAAACGTTATCCTATCACTGACCAGTAGAGGGAGCAATGCCATCATCTCTAGATTAGAGCGTCTCGCATGGGAACCTGTTTTTTTTACGTTTGATCTCCTCTCCAGTCACAAGGCTTCCCCGACTCACGCCGCAGCTCGGGGCGAGTTGGTGAGACAGAGATGTGAAGATAATGACTCAATTAAATTGCTCTATTTGTGTGTCTGTGTGTATATTTGTGTGTCTGTGTGTATATGTGTGTGTGTGTGTGTGAGAGAGCACCTCCATTTAAACATTCTTTTGGCTGGCATCTTCTGCTAAACATGCCCTGAGGTTTGATGGTAGTTGTTCCTAGTAGTTGATTCTCACGCTCCAAACGTCTGTCATGAGACCACACACAGAAAAACCGCCGGGTTTCCAAGATAAATGAACGCCATTTATTTAAAAATATGAAAAAAAGAGAGAGAGAGAAAAAAAACCCCAGGGCTTTAACTTCTAATACTTTACAACAACACAACCTGTGACATACCCTTCAGACGACTGACTGATCTTCAACCCCTCCCAACACCATCACTCCACCGCTGACTGATGAACCTGGTGGCAGGACGAGGAAAGGTTTCCACCAGGACAGCGACGGACGCCACAAAAGCGTCAAGTGTCCGTCGCGTTGACCGCGGTCCGCTACACTGCCGTTCCTCTCTCCAGGTTCTGTTTGATCTCTGCTGTGTATTTGCCATAGAAACGTTCCGCCTTTTTGTTGAACTTGGCGTTCCTCTCGTTGATGTAGTCGATGTCTGAGTCGTCGTTGTAGGCCCTGCGCCGGCTGTACTTGGACCGCTTCTCGATCCTGACAATATGAAAAAAAAAAAGAAAAGTCGGTTAAAGGAGGATTCCATGAACCAGTGTGACCACTCTCCGTGACACATCCATTAACTATAATTGGCTACAGGCAATAATTTGGCAGTGTGCATTTAAATTTGGCAAGGAGAGTGGCGATGGAAAACGTAACACACACACACACACAGGAAAATAGAGTCAATTTGTGAGCTCGCAGTCCTGATTCAGTGTGTCTTCAAAGCATTGTTGTGCGTCATACCCTGGAAACTCAATCCTTGTCTAATGGCCCACAGTCGCGTCTCTAACAAGCTTTGGACTGTCTCAAATATAGAACAGCTCAGGGGAAGAGCCAGCTAATACAACGTGAAAGGGACGTCTGTGGCCGAGGCAGAAACTGAACAGGGAACCAGCGGAAGACCTGAACCGTTTCGCGCTGACCTTCTGCTCAACGTCAGGGTCGCAGACGTGCGTTTGATCTCCGTGTAGGGGACGCTGCGCGGTTTCTCTGATGGTTTCGGCCAATTGCCGCACAGCACTGCGCCTGGTGTGGATACTTGTGGTTGTCACAGCGTGAGGTTGTACAACAATCGGCCACAACATCCAAACGGGTTACTGTTTTACTGCTGTGGCAGCGCCGTGTCGTTTGACAGTAACAGACAGTAACCACTGACTGTTACCTCAAAACATGAAAGCTGGGTTGAAACTGACATGCCCCCCCCATCCCCGTGCCCCCGATCGTCCCGTCCTCATGTCCTCTGTCTCTAATGTTTGTTCTACGTTTCCACAGATTCCGTTGACTTTGTCCAAGTCGTGGTCCAGATTTAACCTGATAAACTAATGACGATCACTGAACTTTAACAGGCTGTCAACAATCAGTCCTACCACAGGAGGTGCTGCTGGGCTTTATGTTAACTTAGGCGTACGAGGCTACCAAACACTGTGCACCTCAAAATTAAAGTTCACGATGAGAGAGCACGTCAGGATTAACAGTTTACACCACAGACGGGTTTGATCAATATTCCTAATTTCTCCCTCAGTTTCACCTCAACCGCTCCAGATCAGATATCATTTGTGGGAAACCGTCAGTTTTCATAAGAACTGAACCTGAATTTAAGGAAAAGAACTCAGAATTCAGAGAATCGTCTCAGCGCGACATCAACAGGAACTGCTGTGAGGCCACGCTGATAAGAACGGTTCCACCAGAACTTTTCAGAGAAACCACCAGCTGATAACTTTATACTCTGAGGCGGAGAGAAAAAAAAAAAAAGTCGGATGGAATTTGATAACAACAACTACAGTGTTTTGGCTGGGGGGGGGGTAATGTTAAGTGTGTGTTTGTGTGTGTGACCTGGTGGTGGATGAGCAGAGAAATAATCTGTCAACAAAGGCAGCAGAGATGATTTTGTTTGTCATTAAAACTCATTACTTAAGAAACAGGACTGCATTTAACCCATCACCACAGTCAACAGGGGGCAGCTCTGAGCGCCCGGGGAGCAGCGTGTGGGGAAGGTGCCTTGCTCAGAGCACCTCAGTGGTGACTTGGCAGCTGGTGGACTCGAACCTTCTGGACCCAAGTCCGCTTCATTAACCACTTAACCACCACTACCCCCATACACTCAGACAGACACACACACACAAATATATATATATATATATATAATATATATATATATATATACATACACATCTATATGTACACCTATATATATATACACATATATATACATATAAAACCATTTTCATTCCAGCCAACAAGAACTTTATTGTGAAAGTCGTTGAACTGAAGAGAGAACCTGAGACCCAGTGCAGTTTGTGGGAAATATTTCATAATTACTGGTTATAAAAAATTAAATTTTGTGCCAAAGAACATTTTACATTTTGTATAAAAAAAACATCCCAAAACAAAAATTCCCATGGATAATTCTCTGCTGATAAATTGTTTTTTTTTTTCTTAAATAAAGACGCACCAACAGCAGCACAGGTCAAAGGTCATCTGCCCAGCAGGCCAGAGAGACAACGAGACAACGAGAGGTTGTTTCTCAGTGGAACTTACTGTTTCTCAACATCTTCCACCATGCGGTCAATGCCTTCCTTTGTGGGAACATGTGTGCCGTGGATCAGGGTATTAGACGTGGGGTAAAAGTCTTCACCGCTGCAAAGGAACAGGGAACAAATTAGAGGTCCATCACGATCATGATCATCGGTCAACACGGTCACCGCGACCTCCGGTCATGTTCCAGTGAGAGCTGTGGCTGTGGCTCCGGGGTTGGACGTGTCGGTGCATCCTTCACGGTTTCCCCATGTGGCCGCCTTAAGGACCTGCAGGCGCTGATCTGTGATCTGTGACTGTGCTGTGTAACCCATGTCTGAACACTCTGACTTACTGGGATATTGTTGGCATGGACACGTTAACGCTGACCTCGGGGCAGACGAGAGGGTACAGTATTTAACATAAAGAAAATGCTTTGTGAACATGTGGCGGCTGATTGCGACGGTAGGTTTTCACGATCCATTCCACTTGAGTGGAAATTTCACCCTTTTGGTTTTAACAGCAGGGAGAGCATCAGCCCTTCCTGTGGCTGAACCAACGATTAAAGGACAAATACAGCGAGGTCCCTGCGGGCGGGGGGTTGGGGGGGGGTGGGGTTCCACTCACCAGTCCTCCCTCTGTTTATCGTAGCTCTCCATGTCTGGTCGGATCTGCTTGGTGAGCCTCTGGTACTGTCTGAACTGGGCTTCAGCGTAACCTGCAGTTCATTTGTCAGACAGAGAAACAAACGACTGAAGTTTAATTACTGGAACAAACGGGGAGCAGGCACATCGCTCTGCCAAAAAACTGAAAACAAAAAAAAAACTGTAGATGATTAAGAACGAATGAAGCGGCAATTCAACTTCCTTTCTCTGGTGAAGCCTCTCTTCCCCCCCACATGGGTATTTCAGTAAAGGCTTTGATGCAGCAGTGGATGAGAAGCCAGAGGACAGTGAACTGTGAAGTTCTAACCTGAAGTGAGGTTCAGTGGGACTAACAGTTATGATTCGACTCCTAACAGTGAATAAATAACTCAGCTGTCGCCGTTCAACTGAGAGGAAACAACCGTTTACCTCTTTAGAAAGAAAGTTCCTAAATTTTTAGGCTAAAAACCTTCTGGCCTGTAATTGTGTATGTAGTTACGGTACAGTCCAGTAGAGGGCACTCAGCATCAACGGAAGCAGGCTGTTTGTGGTTCTCCTCTGTAGTGTATGTAGAGGAGTTTACATGTGTGTTGATGTTACCTGAAGAGATGACGTTAAACTATGTTTATTGTCCAAAAAAAATAAAAAAGGCAGCTAGCATTTAGCGACGTTAGCCACACGCAAGTGTTTCACACAGACGTGTACTTATGGTCAGGGTACTTCCTAGAGCAGTGGAACACATCCTACTTTTTCCTGGAACGGACACTCTGCAGTTACAGCCTCCGACCGTTTCTTTCACATGGTCTGTGTTTTGTCTTCTGTTAGTTAAAGTACAGTACGGTACGGTACAGTACGGTACAGTACAGTATTGGTGTCAATCTGACTTTTCTGTGATAAAACCTGTTCAACTTGCAGCAAAACCTTTCAGTTTTTATGCACATTTTAATTACTCCATTTTTAAATTTTGTTAATGTAGCTCTAAAATTTATAGACAAGTCATCATGTAAAAAAGGGTAATAATGTATATATATACATATATATATATATATATATCTTATAATAGTAAGACAGGGAGTACATAATAACTAAATAAATATACACAAATCAAATAAATGAGTATATAATATATATAAAAATAACAATAAAGATATAAATATTAAATTAAACATATGGAGGTAAATAAAAAAATATAATTAAATACAAATAAATCAAGAAGGTAAGAACGATAAGTTGGTCTTTAACCATGACTTTCAGGCATATTGTTCATTAAAGAAAAATATTTTTAAAAAATGACAAGAATTTCAACAACACCACAAACTGAGGAAATAATTGACATTTCACTCGATGACGCGCTTTATACAAGAAAAATGTTCCACACACAGTGTTAACACACACACACACACCTGCAAATCCTGTGTCCGGGTTCTTCTTTTTCTTCTTCCTCTCCCACAACGCTGCATCTCTGGCTGTGATTTCCAGCAGCTTCACTCGGTTGTAGTCCTCACCTCTGTCAGCACATTCCTACAAAGAAAAAACACATTTGGTTTTTTAATGTCTATACCGTCAACATAAATGAGGGTGAATGATTTTAATTCACCCTTAAAATAATGAACCACGGGATGCAGGATTTTTGATGAAAAAAAATTTGAAATTTGTGATGATGGTTAATGACATTTCTACATGCATATATATATATACTTATCAAGAAAAAAAAAATCACCTTTTTCTTTTGATCCTCTGCCACCTCCCACTCCAGCCGGGCTTTCTTTGACTCCCAGTTGGACGGCAGCTTTCGCCTCTTATCCTCTTCCACAACCTCCTTAAAATTTAGTTTCTGTGCTTCATTCTGGAGCAAGAAATCCAAAGAAATCCAAATCCAAAATTAACACTAAGTCAGTGCAAAACGTGTTGAGTGAAATTTGGTAAAGAGAAAGAATTTCTGGTTCTTTGGTCGAGACAAAAACAAAAAGTGAGGGACAATAATTAAAATGATGCCTGAGATTTGACATATAAACAACAACAAAAACATATTCAAAATTCACCGGAAAAAATTGATTATACTAGGTATATAATATATATGTATACACACACATATATATATATGAACTTAAGTGTGTGATTGTGAATGGTGACAGACATCTATAGACATCTTTAATTAAAATATATGGTGTTACAGATAACGACGGAGAACTCACCCGTTTAAAATGTAACTCTCGAAATTTCCGCAGCCTCGCTTCTCTTTTCAGGGATGCCGGAGTTTCGGTCAATTCCTCTTCTGTGTTTGTCACAGTTTCCTGAAAAACAGACACGGTTAGTTTTATTTAATAATAGAAAATGTCACGCGCACTACTATATTAAATGACTAAACTAAAGAATAAGCATAAAGAAAACGCTCAACAGCGAGCTACATGCTAACATTAGCTAACTAGCACCAGCCGATTTTGTTAGCTTGCCACACGTAAACAACAACCAATACGGCACAATTAAACCCCGTGTCACGGGGCTCGGTGCTAAAACGAATAACACGGTTTATATAACCGCGATATAAATGACCACAACTAACACGACGGCCTGATTATGAATTAAAAATTAGAGAAAACGAACCTCACTACAGGACGCCATTACTGCT